CTTGATTTTGACTAGCTTGAAAAGTGAAGATTTTTGGACTTGAACTCCGGAAGAATAATATAAATATGATGCATTTTCAATTTGACATTTTTTATTAGGACATATTTTAAATTATTTATGTTGTAAATTTTAAAGTATAAATATTGAATTTTTGTTATATTTTTGCCAATTTTTTGATACTATATAAATGTTGTCCTTTTATAAATTGTTTTTAATTTTGCAAATTAAACTATACTGTTATCAATGTAATAATGAATCAAATAAAAACTATCATTTTTCTGACTATATATTTCAAATTTCAAATCAGTTTGTCAATGTTCAAATCAGTTTACAATGAGAAATCATATATACTGTTGAAAAACGCGTTTAAAGTTCAAGTTTCATGACATGTTTTTCTCATCTTATATCATCCTCTATTTGTATTCTATTCAAACATATCTGCCTTTTTATCTTGTTTTTTTTCTTTCTGCTGTGCTCGAAGAAAATTATAACTGAGAAAAAGAATTTATTAGAAAAAATATTTTTACATAATGTTCTACTGCGTATCGCACAAGCATCTACTTATGCATGCAAATCAAACGTTACAACTTGAAGAATATTTCAAGTATCTACTCAGAACTTTTTGTTTATTTATTTATAAAATTACATTGTAAGACTACTAGTTTTTGAAGTAAAAGGTTTTATTATTCTACATAATGATGTTACAATATATGAGCTTCAAAATTTGTGTTTTATTCTGTTCTCATTATTTTAAATTATATATTATATTATATTATATTATTTTAAATTACAATTCCGGGAGTAAATTTTTTCTCACTCATTTGATATAAAATTTTGATACAAAATTTATATGAAATTTATGCAAATATACCTGTTATTATTATTTATTTATGTTCATGGAATATCTAAATTTTTTAGACAAAAAAATATTGTATGATATTTAATAAACGTCATAACTCATGCTCAATTTTTCAAAAATTAAAAAATTTTTTTTTCTTTTTTTTTTAAATCTTTTCTCTTATTATAATTAGATTATTATTATAATATTATTATACTGTTAATTACTACTATTATACTGTTAATTATTATATTCTCGACTTATTACATTTGTTTGTTTTGTTACAATTGTTTATTTTTTTTATCCGTTGAAAAATATCCATTCTTATCACTAAATATCTGCCAATGAATTCAACAAATCTTCGCGAGCGATATCGGAAGTTCGGATGTGCTCGTCGGATGTAATACTTCGCCGAAATACAGGTATCGAAAGAATTGTCTGCCGAATTTAAGATTTTAACAACAGATATATTCTTAATTATAATTACAAGATATTGTAAGATGTTGGTTCTTTACAATAATTATCTTTGATTTTATAATTTTGTAGTGAAATGCTGTTCTTGTAACAAAATATCAAGTAAATATTTTTTTACGATACCATTATGGTACGGGTAAATGTTGTTTGCAAGGTAGATGTTTTACAGATAAAATCGCGATAGATTGAATGCAGGCGCGTCGCGTCGATGGGGGATGAAGCGCGACTGTCTTATGGTGTATTGTTAAGCAACCGTTCGTACATCGTGATTAGGTTTAACCGACCGCAATCGCTCGCAAAAACTTCGTATCGACTTTGGATGTCGAATACATTTTATGAAATTGTTACAATAGTTTATATTTAACACAATTATTTATATGAAATATGCGGAAATTATAAATTGGTTGTTAGCGCGCAGATTCAGTCCTACGACGTCGCTGTTGATTAAACGTTACGAAATTGAATGGTGTTTCGTATCGCGTGTGACGAGAACACTCGCGTTCAGCGAAAACACGAGAACGCTCGTTGTACGAGAAAGAATAACGAGAACACTCGCCGTTTGGAAAAAATAACGAAAGAACGCTTGTCAAATTTGTCCGTATGAATTGTTTAACAAGATCAAGCACTTTTGGTCTTTCATGGTCCGGTTGGGATCTGTCAATCCGACAGATCTGGACTCAAATTGTAAAATTCGCCCGCTTACATATACAATAAATTTCGTAACGTGTTTTTAAACGTGTCAAAACACAATTTGACATTTTCCAGCTGATCGATCGGTTGAGGAGTGCGCTCGGGAAGCTTGCGACCGTGCTATTAACTATAGCTAACGCTACCAACTCCGTTTATGGAGTAAAAACGCTAGCAAATGCGAACTCCATGAACAGCGATAGTGAGTGTAGTATTCAGCGTTTAAAAGCATAATCGATTTTAAACCTAACCAAACGGCAAAATGGAGTAAGATCGAAGAAAATTATTATTAGCTGCTGTAGTATTTACGTAAGAATACGAGAATTAATACGCGAGAATTAATAGATTCTTCATCGTCTGAAAGCGATAATGAATAATTAGAAATAATAAAAAGAAATATAAATCCAAGAAGACATATATCGAGAATCGAAAATTACGTAAAAAAATAAAAGATTAAAAAGAATTTTAATCTTAAAATAAAAAAATTAAATAAAATTAATTAAATTAAATTTTAATCTTTTAATTTTAAATTTTTTATCAAAATTTAGCAAAAACTTCAAAATCTTCGAGATGACAAACAATTCACTGTTAATTATTACTCGTGGAGCTCGCAAACGTTGCCAAACGCTATTAATGCACTACGTCGGAAGCATAGCAAGAAGTTATGACGTAAAACGTTATCGATATAACATAACGTTTGGTAGCGCTAGTTCAATTAGTTCTCCGAACAATAATAGATATAAATAGCGCTAATAATTAGCTTCTCGAATGCACCTGTGATCGGCGCGTGATAGGCCGCCGAGCGCAAAGTTCGCGTTATTTGAAAGGCTTCGGGCGGCCTTGTAAACTTGGCCGCGGCACGTGGTTAAGATGATGCAATGAAGGCATTTCTGTTACATATCATAATTACAATTTTGTAAACGATGTCAAAAATAAAAAAGTAAATATTAACAAAAAAAAATTTTCAGTATTAGTTTTATTTGCGCACCGTCTACAGCGCTGATTCTCATTTGCCCTATTATTGCCCATTATTAAATAAAAATAGTTTAGTTAAGCATTCCTGTCCATCATTTGTAAGTTAATCAAGAAATAAATTTTCTCGTCATCAAAAATAAATTTTCCCGTCTCGGAAGGAAAAAATAAAATATGAGAAGAGAAAATTGAAAATTGCTTCAATTTTCCATACGTATTTAAAATAACCTTGTGCTGTTTGGTTAGTAATATGTGCGTAATATATAATTACTGTGATTACTAATCACAGTAATTATATATCTGTGATCAGCATTTAAAAAAGAAAATAAAGTTTATGTATGATTATCTATTCTCTAAAGTTTATGTATAATTATTTATTCTCTAGGCTATTATTGAAATTTTTATTAACATCAATAAGTTTTTTTATATCTTATGGAAATGCTAATATAATCGAACACACAGAAAAAAATTGAAAGAAAGTTTACAAATATTATTGAAAAGTATTTTTTATTATGGATTGGAAAAATAATAAAAGCAATGTCTCTTATTATAATCTTAAGTTATATATTTTAAAACTGATTGAGGCTGATAAAAAAGCATGGACTGAAGATAATACGCAACAGTGTTTTCATTACGATATAGATTTCGATATTTCGGTAAAAGATAAGCTGTTAAATTATAGCAAAACATTAGTGTAAACGTAGTACAAAAGATAATAAAAAAAGAAATTGTTTTTTGCAAAAGCACTGCAATACATTTTTAGAAAAATTATATCTAAATGTCAATTATGAAAAGAACAATTAATGTCTAGTGAAAACTATATATAAAAAAATTTTCTTCTATTTCAAATTTACATTTGATAAATTTATTGAAGATATTCAATTCAGATATATAATTTATGAGAGATATAACTTAAAAAAATGTGGTTTATTGTCTCAAAAAAAAAAATTTTTAATTTCATATTTCCGAGTAAAAAATCAAGTTTTTAATTAGGTTAAATGATCAAGAATCCTAATTAGTTCTGAGTTACTTTCTATTTTAATTTAACTGGTTTGACTAATCAAAAATTGATAAATTTGGGCGACGCTTGCTTCGCCGATAACTGGAATAAAATTAGTTAGTTTCCAACCATTTAGTGACCATTTTTTGAACAGATTCTGCTCAGTTTCTCTGTATCTTGGACCATTTTGTAAGAAATTTCTAATTAGTTTATCGCCATTTTTTAAGCAGTTTTTGACCAGCTTCTAATCAGTTTTTGATCAATTTATAATCAGTTTTTTAACCAACTTATAATCAGTTTTTTATCATTTTTTAATCATTTTTTTATCCAGTTTTAATATTTTTCTGGAAGTAATATTAATAATAATAACAATAATAATAACAACGATACCAACAATAATAATATTCTTTAATCTTTTTATTGTAATTTAATGTTTACAAATTTAATAATTTATAAATTTTACTAATACTTTTTATTCAGAATATATTATAATCGGTTCTTTTTTTGCTTCGTGTATATCAATGTGCTCTGGAAGGTTCCCGTTTATCTCCTATTATATATAAAATATAAAAGATATAAAGATATGATAAAATTAATATTTTGCTGTTTGCCGACTATATGTAATAGTAAAAAAAAAATGTTATCGTGAAGATGATACTTTTGATTATATTACTGGCACTGTGCGATTTTTTAATTTTTTTGAGACAGCACTGATTAAAAATAGCAAAGAATGAATAATATTATTTAAAATTCATTTATACAAGATTCTATTTAAGCACTGCACTCGATTAAATGTGACGAAAATATATCCAGAAAATATCCAGAATATGATATCCAGAAAATGCTTACATGCTCCGAAATCTTGCCCGAAAAAATTTAAA